ATTATTATTATTATTATTATTATTATTATTAGACTCCTAGACGAAGTCCATCCGTCACCCGACAACATCCTACTGGCTGGTTTTTTTGAACCTGCTTGACTGCTTGCAAGCGTTAGTGGCAGCGTCATTGTTGTCACGACGTATCTGATTGGGCCGCGACAATTCTTCATTAATCCCATTTCTTTTTCATCCTACGCCCTCAATTCACACAGCAATCGTGGTCATTCATCTGTGGTCTCCGATTGTTATGAAAACGAAGGAAAAGTGAGTCCAGCGTATTACCTTCTTCCGCCAGAAACCAAGTTCATCTTACACCAGAACTATTTTTTCCTGGAGCATAGCTAATTAGGTTGATGGATTGATGCCAACTTTCTCACTGGAGGTCCTGTTTCATTCTGTACAATTACGGAGAAAGAAATGAACGATACATTCGGTTCATAGCACATCAACCGCGTTACGCAACATCTGCAAAGGTACGCAGTCCTAAGGTGCACGAAGGAGAGCACTTGACTGGCGCCGTGTCATCCTGTCAGATTTAACTAACGCTCATGTGAATTGTGTGCCTAAAAATGCTGTTTTAGATACAAACGAAGGGATGGACAGTGCGTTTTATTGGCCTCGTCTACCATCCAGGATAAGGTCTCAGTCAACTTTTAGCTCGTACGAACTGATGATACAAGGCATCACTGCCTGCTGGGATCTGATTTATGTGGCGATTAGTGTTCTTGTCCGTAATGGTAATGCTGTGTAACAATGTTAAATATTGATAGGAAGCTGAGTACTCATCAACTGCTGTATTCTAAGGAAGATTCTTGAAGTAAGGCCACTGCTTCAGATAGTTCACAGTAGCATTTTTCGGCAGTCACACTTCGTCGTGCATCCCCTCCAGAACCAAACCGCTTTCTGCGAAGAACCATGTAACATCTTTCTTTGAGGGCTCACTGCATCCCTGACACCTGTATGGATATCCGAATGTCCACACGGGTTCATTGATAGCAAAGGAACTGTAGCTTGCTGTGTACCGCTTTGAATTATAGCTACTCATGAGTAGATAAACTTAATTCACCAATTTTACTCGTCAAGCCTTGCTATCGAACTTTGTGTGCACCCTTTTATTTCACCCATCGGATCACTTGCACTGAATTCAGCCAGTTTGGATGCAGTTCATATTTGACTATCTACTCTTTTTTTAAATTTCCTTACAGTCTAGCGCTACACATGATAATGAACTACAGTCTTAATCAAACCCTTAGCGTAATTGCTTATGAGGGTGGCGAAGCTAACTTGAGGTAAGTAGAGAATGCAGGCTGTTTCCCTTTCCGGCTGGCCTGTTCGACCGCCGTTCTGTTTGGTCGTTTCAATGGGATTTTCATGTCCATGTATGCATGTTCATATGCGTTTTATCTGGGTAAACTGAACACCAATACTGGCAGCGTCATGCATGCGGAACACGCAGTGGTGCCTCTCCTTAGCTAGTTACCGTGCACAATTTGGGAGCGTTGTTTTTTTCGTTGGAGATGGTGAACACAGGATGTGGGTCAGTTGTTTATGGTTTGCTATAGCTGTCCGTGTTTTTTGTGGGCTAAGATGCGGCCAGGTTGTCCAGACCCAGACAATAGACAGGCCTTTACTCAACGCCTTGACTGAAAACCCCGACCGAACCACAGCCGTGGTTGATGTAAGCTCACCGTATCAATACAACTGTAAGCTCTCAACCTACAAATTTGGGTCAGGGGACTTTCTAGTGACGAATTTCTTTTATTGTATCACGAGCACGTCCAACGTCCATAGCAGTATCGTAAGGTTCTATCCTTTCTTGATGCAAGTCACTAGAACATATATGAAGTGCGTTCGCTGGTCAGCAGTGGTCGATTCACTGGATGCCTGCATTGTACGATTTATAATCTCCGTGGAGATTCGTGAGATGCTCACTGACTCCCAGTAAGAATGAAACAGAGTTACTTTGGACACAGGTTGACTCCACTTATGAGGCAAATATTTCTACTGAAGCCTCCAGTTATCGACACACCGGTCAGTTTATGCCAAGTAGAATGCTGTGCTACGTGAAGCTACGACGTGACGTCAGTTTGTCTGTCCAGGGCAAAGTTTACACCGTGGTGGTGCGATCCATACTGCTCTATGGATCAGAAGCGCCGTCCCTACGCACAGAGGACACACGGAAGATGTCAGTGTTTGACCATCGCTGTCTCCGAAGCAGTGATCGAGTTTAGTGGGAACATCGGCTTAGCAATGCCGAGGTACGCCATACGGTCTTAGGAATTAGGAACTCTCCCACTCATGCTTTTTTGGGCTACACTAGTTAGGACGTGTTCTCTGCATGTCGCAATACCGTCTGCGAGATGGCTCAAGTGGTTAGAGCGCGAATTTACTGACCGAAAGGTCCGTGGTTCGAACCCGACCTCTGCCTCTCGACTTCCCCTGCCCAGGCTTGGGCGACCTGGGAGTATCCCAGCCCTCGTGCTTCCTTCGGGTAGCATGGCAGCTAGGTATTGGAAGGGTGTTACAGCTGAACGAGTTATTTTTATTTATTTACTTCTGCCTTACAGAGCTCTTTTCTCCCAGCCCTGTGCTGAGTGGAAGCGACTGAGAGGTGGACAGTGTATGACCTTGCAACGAACTACGAAGACGCTAACCAGTAAACTTAGTCGGGTGGACAGCTGCCGTCGCCCTGGATGGGCACCCCGAGATTCAAATCGGCAGTGGTTGATGACGTTGGCAGAAATGGCCCAATCGCGCAATCAGTGGCGCTCGTGCATCAAAGCTATCGCCTTCAATGCGTAGCTGCCCAATTTCCGAACAATCTGAACATGCCTTTGCGTCCAAGGCTTAGTTGTATGTCCCACATTTTCGCTTTCCGCTTATCAAAGCTGCAGCAGCGAGAACCAATGTGCTTATGGCACACGGTTTATAACTGATAAATTGGAATGAATTGAGGCTATTAAGTGATGCTAATGGAGTCCCGAGAGGATGAGGTTCACGGGCAAGCATACCAAGACATGTGGTTAGTCATCACTTGACCTAACGCCCGAAATCAACACTAAATACCTGTTTATTAGCTTCATGTCCAACCACTTTGAGTTGCTTTCAGTGTCCTGGAGACATCTTTTGGCACATGATTAAGCTAGTAGTGTGTGATCTTATGGTATTTTGATAAACGTTTGCTTTCCAGCATCCGTTGGATGATGCTCCAGACTAGTAGTGGTTTTGTTGGATCAGTAGATCGACTACATATCATGTAGGTGCACAACATCGTGGATAAATTGGAGCGAGCCACTTGTTCTCTCTGAATTGCTGAGATACGTCATTTCCAAAGACATTCTTCAATGGTCTAAACAAAGAGTTACAGTTTGTCAAACGTGATAAACATCTAAGTAGTAGAATATCAGGCATCTTTAAATTTCAGTTCAGCGGGCCGTTGTTGAGCTATCTCAAATGGTCTGACCGGACGAAGATGATTTTGACCCAGAATTTACACGATTTCATCAGTGATCTTGTCCCACTGTCCTTCCACTCTGCAATGGCCGTCTGTAGTTCGATTACAATTAATAGATCAGCCAGTTCTTCATTGTATGTTTGAACAGTTGAGTGATATGGTTCGACTTCAACTCGACTTACCCGTTGAGTAGTGTTGAAAAGCGGTCGTTCTTAGCTGTCAAAATCTGCTCAGGTCTGTTGCGTTCTATCAGCAAGAAGTGATGAATTCTCGGTCTACAGGGTCCTTTCAATCTGGCGACGATTTCCGGGGGATTTCCGGCGATCCGCGTACGATAGGAAGTCCATACCCTATTTGTTGCTTTCCGCAAGTGCTGTTAATTTGGAGATGCGTTTGAACTGTAGCATCTGTGAGACCTAGGATTGTTGTAATAAATACGAAATCCCCCTGAGTCAAGGTGGGTACCGATGAGTCATTCTCATCAGACATCACCTCCGGTCGTGCTTCAGTCTACACCAGTCCTGTATGTGTGCTCATATTTTGAGTTTACTTTGGACTTGGTTAGCCATCGGCCTCTGTTTCCCGAAAATATGATGAGATTGCCTGATTCTTCAGTTTTGTTTACACCCAGCTTGTTTGATTTTTTTGCCTGGTTTACTCCGAGAAGTAGTTTAGGCGCAACGCGGACAGCAGCACGTATCAAAGCTTGATCCGCCTACTAATGAGATCCGCGAATTACTTGTGCGACAAGCATATCACCGAAATCTACCGCACCCAATGCTTGTATAACTGTACGCGCCCGACGTTAAACCGCGTGTTTATTGTTGAGTATTCCAACACTAGACGCATTATCAATAAGCAACCGTCGTGGACAATATGGCTTGATCTTTGTACATCGCTGTACGGTTTCCTGTAGTATGGGTACCTTTTGCTCTTCGCTCGACTGCTCCTCAGTTGTCTTCCGCATGCGGTCCAACATTGATCAAATGATGTCCAGTCGGTGTAGCCCGCAGGGTCACTGCTGCACTAAAGCACCTTCACATCACACGTAATTCTCCACACTTTTACCTTGTTGATTAGCAGTTGAGTTGTGTCAGCACGCTTAGTGAACTCCTTGAGATAGTTCAGTGGTTAGAGCACGAATCTACTGACCCGAAGGTTCGTAGATCTCCGCCTCTCGACTTCCCCTGTCTAAGCTTGGGCGATTGGGCAGTATCCTAGCCCTCGTGCTTGCTTTTTTGGCACCGAAAGGGTGTTACAGTTGAAAGATTTATTGGGTGGCTTTCACAGACATTGATATCGTCCAGCTTCCGAAAGCTTTGATGTGAACTGCAGTAGTTCACGTGCACGTATCATGAATGAAAAAATCTGTCTTGGGTGTGATCTCGACTACTCTCCCTTCCCGTCTAACAGACAATCCGTTTTATGCCTTTGTGCTCATACCGCAGCAGTGGGGACTTTCAACATAGTTTTTTTTAGAAACCACTGCTATAAATTCCTTTCATTTACTGTTTTCAACAACTGTCAGAGTAGCCCGTTGTCACGCAAGAATGTGTTCTGTTCAGGTTATCTTCTTTCTTTCCTTCAGTATGGCCCAGTTTGGTCCCCAACTCTCTAAACAATCAATCAGTAAATTGTGCTGTCGTCTTTCTTACATTACCATATCTACTGGACTCACATATTTGCTCATTTAATTTAATTTAATGTTGATGCTTGGTGGCTTGGAGGGTTGATCACGAACCTTCTGTTCGGCCGGTTTGGTTTCAGTCGGTTAGTTGGGTTGTTTTTTTTTAACGGGCAACATGTTTTGGATTAGAATTATTGGCTCGAGTTTAGCCGTGTTCACATTGTTGACGTGTTGACATTGTTTCAATGAGCCCTCCATCTTGCCCCGTAGGTACTTTAGGATTGCGTGCGAAACAGCAAAAGGTATGAAAGTCCAAACAAGGATGCCGGAGTGCTTGCGCAACATCTGGCACCTTTCATATCCATCGGTTCCCCATTTATCAGCTTTGAAGAAGTAGACGATCAACTCCCGTGCATGCACTGGAACAGACAACCTCAGTATTCAGACTGTAGTGACTTTGTTTAATTTTAGTCCTGCGTAGATATCTTCTTCCACCATGAGCAACAGGTGCTGAACGAAAACTCTAAAAGCCAATTGCGGTCGGACACTTCAAGAAATCCTACTATAGATTTGGGCTCAATTACTATAAGTTTCCCATGCATTCTGTAGCAGTTCCCGACCATACGGGCAACCACAAGCTAAGTCCAGATTGATGAGCTGATCTGATGTGAAGTACCATTTGAGTTCTCAAAAGGTCGTATCTGTTTACACTTCTCACCCCCGTCTATCGTTCCAACCTCTAGTTTATCCACCGCATAAGCAATATGTACACAAATTGTTTTTTGTTCGTTTGCTCAGCTACAACCTTGAGTACAACGAGAGTGGCTTGAAGATATCATTGAGCGGATTCAACGAGAAACTATTCGTAAGTCCTTATCACCCCCGTGTGTTGTATTTCCGTCAGTCCGCCTGTCAGCCACCTGCGGTGTCCACTGCTGTCGCCTTCCATCCCTTTTTTTCTGCTCAGGCTTTCTATCAGACCATCCTGAACCACATTGTGAGCGAAGATTCGGCCACTTCGTCTGCTCATTTCGAGTCATATCGAGACGCGATCAGACAGTTGTGTTTCAATGAAGCATTGAAACCTAACGTATTAAACACGTAAGTTCCGCTACTTTTAATTCGCTGCAAGTCTGAGTCAGAGTATCGAATACTCAGGTAGGCCAGCACTTCAATGGCTTGTGAATCTTCGTAGTTATTCTCACCTTGAATTACGAGTACGGTGACAGGACTGACTATGGATACTCACTAGGGTCGTCTCTATCCTAAGTGGTCAACCGCCTATTTCATTTTCGCTCGCTGTTCGCCGCATTAGTGAGCGAACTGTTCGTTGTTGGTTGACAAAGACGGTTGTCGGATCATTGGTTTGCTAAGTTTGTCGCAGTTGGCCCAATCTCAGTGCTGGCCGCCAGAAAGTCCACTCTGAATAGATGATCCCCTCGTTCATGATCACCACACCAGAACCTTTTTTTGTGATCTCATCAGCATAATGTCATCATGGCTCGCGTGTGCTTCTATCCACACCCGACTAATTCACGACATTTTTCTTCAGACACATGCAGTTCTATCTGCTCCGAAAAGAAGCCTATCTCTTCGACGACCTCCTATCGGCTATCAAGAACTTGTCCGTAGCCGACTTGATGGCCTATAAACAACAGTTTTTCTCCAAGCTACGGATCACAGCCTATGTGCATGGTAATATGTCTGCCGACGTGAGTCCTGCTTCGCTTCATTTCAGTGATTACACATTGAGAAACTCTTTTTGAATGAAGCCCATCACTACTAGATTGAATGACCAACACGAACTTTGACAGCCTGTAGTGGCTGCATTTTTTTTGTGAGTATCCTAAATCCAGTTTTGAATAACCATCCCTCTCTATGGTCGAAGGTGTATTCAAGCCCACTACAAAGTACTTGCACGTTTTACGCATCCGGTTTTGGACGAAGCTGCCGGAATAACGAGTATTCTGATCAATCCGGTTGATCGATGTTTTCATAATATCTGAGAGATGCTCCAAAGGTTAATCTGGCCTTTCGGCTATCAGGAGCTTAGTACTCCACCTTGCTTGTTCCTTCCATCACTGTTTGTGTGTCGGATTTCCATCGAGCGGCTGCTTGAGTTATGGTTGGTCGAATGTTAGTGGATTTCGGGCACCCCTCAGTACTCTCTGGAGTGAATAAATGGCGGCATGCTCGCAATGCTCGACTTCTCTGAACTAAAAATCGAGCCTAGTCGGTCTTCAAAGCTGCTCAGGCCAAAATTTGAATGAATCGAACTTCGGGCGACGGCATTTGACTTAATCCACCTCATGACAGGCACGAATTTGTTCGTTTGCAGATATCTTTGTCTGCATTCGGAAACCCCAAACGATCGTGTTTTCCCCGGTACTCTATTTTTCGTGAATCTTACTTGATTTATTGATCTTGTCAGCTCTTCGCCAGTTGTTTGGCTCCTTTAGTCGCCGTTCACGGAAGATCCTCTTCTTCCCAGTATTGCTTCGGTTTCTCGAGGGCATGTGCTAGAAGCTTTAAGGGCCGCGACACATCATCTCCTTTCCACACCGACCCTTTCTCTTTTTGGAACGGAAGACAATACGACTGTGCCATACTCCTCGCGGGCATGCTGTTTGGGGACAAAACGGATACATGATGACGATATAGTCACCCTGCGTCAGGTTGCATGGGGAGAACGATTTCCTTTCGTTTTGGAAACTTGCCTTGATGGTATTCACGTTTCAAGAGGCGGATGGAAACGTGTTTGTATAAGAAATTCGTCAGCACTTTGACCTAACGGCGTCTGAGAAGGAGAGGATACTGCTCTGTTGTATAACATAATGATACTAACATAAGTCCGCCTTTTCTATTCGCGATGATGGTACCGTACATAAATACAGGATCCGCATTTGTGAAAACAAACGGTTAGCGTGAACTACTTCAACCAAGAAGGAATTAGATTACTTCAAGGAGGTAAATTCTCGGGAATGTGGAACTTGGAACGGGGTTGCAAGTTCCTAACCTTAAGACCAATTTTACGTTTCTTTCGGGATGACAAACCATATTTCTGGGAAAACTTTAGCAACTCACCAACATAATTTGGCCTCGGCAAATGCACTCGTTTGCCCAGCAATTTGGTTTTCACGGGTAACTCAAGTGAATCCAAGCTGGGTCTATCGTTTACGTAGCTCTTCTTCAACTGAATGTGCTCTACCAGGCCGTCCCATGTTTCGGTTAGAACGATATCCGAGATAGCCGAGTATAATTCCTCGAAGAAGAATACCCGTGGGGTTTCTAAAAACTATTCGGCAGAGTTTTGCGCAACGTTGTGAGTAGTTTCCTCCAAGAAAAAAAACTTTTGTATTGGTAGTGTGAGGAGATTTGGGATTTTTGTGGAGATTTCGTCCTGTAAGTGAAGCCAATCTATGCTGAAAAGCCGAGAAGAAGTGTCTAAGTGCGATTTAATCACACTGCTGCTCAGCCACTCGTGGCCGAACTCGTGTTCAAACCACTAGCCGGGAGGTCGCGGGTTCGAGACTCTCCGGAGTTTGGTGAGATGCGCATTGCTGATGATTCCCACTAAGGATGAAACAGCCGTACAGTGCTTCTCGGCTTTTCAGCATAGTTCGGCTTCACTTACAGGACGAAATCTCCACAAAAACACTTTTGAATGTTTGCCTAGCCTATCGGTGTTGCGTATCTCTGTGACCGCTTTACTTTGAGAGGCGCTTGATTCCCTATTGAGCGTGTAGGTTGAGTCATCGATTGAACTTGTGATCAGGTTAGATAGGCTGTGTGTACAACAGATAACTTAATCGAGTGTATTTGGTTACACATTACAGAATTCCTTTCTGCCGTTAATCAATCACAGCATCATTTCGAGCTTTCTCAGACTAAACCGATTCCTTTACTTGAGGCTAATGACCTGTATGAATATCCCTCTCTATCATGTTTGCTGCATACTTAGCATTGTTTTTCGCTCCACTTCCTGGAATTGTTTTGTTTGCTTGTTCTGCAGGATGCTATCGAGTTTTTCGAGTACACCACCCGCAAAATCGGATGTACTCCTTTACCCAGTCGGAAATTTGTAAGTTTTATCGTTTTCCCTCTCCCTCGCTTCTGATCGGAGAACAGTTCGGTGTATTTGTTCCAGAGGGCCTGGCGACGTAACGCACTTATTTTCATTACTGACCTAGTAATGAGTATAATTTTTCAGGGGTTCAATTACATTCCACCAGAAACGCTTATTGAGAGCTTGCTCAAAGATCTCCTCTGGCTCTACTTCCAGAATTTCTTTGCGTTTAGCCAGAATATTTAGTAGTTGAGTTTGTCCTTTGCTTGCCAAGCTTCTGTGCAGCAAGGTCCCCCAAACTAGAATCATGTGAATTATACATCCACTTTATGGATTACTCTGTCAGGACTCCATTGTTTCGGTCATATTCTAAACCATTCAGCCGTGATCCACATATTCAATTTAGTCAGGTGATGGGTCAAAATTCTGCCTGTGAAGTCTGTTTATTGATTTATTTATTCATTTACCCAGTTCGCATCCTGCGATTTGGTTCTAATCAACTCTCACGGCAGTTACTCATAGGAATGCCAATAACTCTGTGAATTTTTCCTTTTTCGAAAATAGGGGTTCTCGACTTATTTATATCGACTTACTATGTCAAAGGGGTGAGATGGACCAAGTGGTTAGAGCGCGAATTTACTGACCGGAAGGTCCGTGGTTCGAACTCGACCTCTACCTCTCGACTTCCCTTCTCTAGGCTTGGGCGATCTGGCAGTATCCCAGCCCTCGTGCTTCCTGCGGGTGGCGTGGCAGCTAGGCACCAGAAGAGTGCTACAGCTGGACGGCCTTATTACGTCAAAATACCCGAGATATTGAGATCGAAATACGGTTGCTACTTTACTGGGGTTTTCCGGCTGGAACATAATAGGTCTACTCATTTTGGAAATGTCACGCGCTGGAAACTTGCGACAGCCTCTATTCCACTTAAATGATGGGTCAAACTTATATCAAGGTGAGGAAAGAATTCGCCCGCACATTAGCTCGTTCGGTAACCATTTAGTATTCGTGCGAAATGGCGGTCTCTATCCATGTCAATAAATAATTTGTTGGAAAACTTGTGGATTCCCCCAGTGTTTTTCTGGTCATATATCTGGTGATAGGGTCGTTCGTGTGTTGAAACTTGTAATCAGGACCTTGTTTCCATTACAACGGCTGGTACAACCGTACCCTAGCAATCGAATTTCTTCTAAAACTCTTCGATTTGAGAAATATTGCGCATAAGCAAGCTGACATAGTTCGGAATGATCAATTCGTGTCGCGCGACAGACCGGCTAACGAACCTCTTGCATAAATCATTCTCACATCATTTCAGATCGGCCCTGTTCATATACCTTTGTGTTGTGAATTTATAACCTACCTGTTGCTATTTTGCTTTCTGTCGTCCAACGTTTTGCTGTCATATTGACGGGCCTCTTCTACGTAGACTGGTTGCGCGATTATGAACATGGGATGGTTGTAAATTCCAGCGTCTGGACTTGTCTTTGGCTGGTATACATATTTAGCTCTTGTTAGGCCCTCGTACAGTGCGCCTCCCCTTGGTAAGGGTTAATCAGGAACACAGATTAGGGTACTTCTGAAGACAACCAGTTTTCTTGAAACATGTTATCCTTCTTGTGGTCTCAAGACACATCATTATCATCGACAGCATAACCACAGTGTTGAACACTCATGCCTCACTGCCGTGCGGAAAAACACGTTGAAACACGTTCTATAGTGTCAGCGCTGACGTCCGGACCACACACTGTCCGTCAGCAAAAGTGATGAGTTGATCATCAGATAACAACAAAAAGGTGTTTGTAAACATCAGTGAGCAAGCTTCTTCACAGTCACTTGTCCCCTTCTTATAATTTCCTTCCTATACGACCCTTTCCATCTTACCTACCAGACAGATGTTGCTTCATACGAGCCGGGAACGTATAGAGTACGAGTGTCGAACTGCAATCCGGCAGACGTCAACATGTGTATAGCCCAAGTGCACTTGCTGGGCAAGACGGACCTACGGCGTACTGTATATAACAAGCTACTGTGTGTAAGTTTCTTTCCAGCAATTTTTGTTTTCACCGTTGCATGTATTCGTGTTCAGCCATGTTGAGGTGATGCACTGCTCGACTAATCCTTTGCCGTGGCACACTGTGGTTAACGTCTTTTGCAGTGCTCTCCCCTGGGCCGTTCCCTCTCTCGGGTCGATGAATTTCTCTAAAAGAGGTTCGGTCCGCGTCAGGAGCAATCGTGATGTATCGACATTTGTCTGCCTAATTGTGGGATTGTTTCCGAGTCTTATTGATCGTATTCTGTTTGGTTCTCCAAATCGCACAAAGTGCGGACACTCTCATTTACTTTAAGACATCTATTGCTGTGGTTTGTCGGTTTTACTCGGGTACACATACCCTTCTCCTGTTCAGGCGTACAGCGCACGACACTTCGAAAATGCCTTTACCATTGTTGTCTTCATTCCGCTAACTTGGGACCCAAAACATTTCCCTTTCCTCTGTTGATTGGCTGTAAGTATCGGCCACTAAAACAATGCAACTACACGAAACTGAACAAGGTTGAAGCTGCAGATGTCCAGCTATACAACTGGCGCGAAATCTTAACAGTTTCTTTTTAAGAATGTGGTGTGTTGTCAATAGCGTAGCACCGTGCTGGAGATGACTTACTGTGTGTTGTCATTTGGCTGACGTTATTTGGTAGATCCAAGTCAGGAATAGTGCCCTCGTTTGGTGTTCGGTTGAACCCTGGACATCGCCGTGAGCAGGTCCGTACTTTGGCTTTACTCAGACAATATCAATCGTGTTTGAACAACCATACATATCAAGCACCAGCTTAGTTTCCAGGCGAGGTGGTTCAGTGGTTAGAGCGCGGATTTACTGACCGGAAGGTCTGTGGTTCGAACCTACCCTCTGCCTCTCGACTTCCCCCGTCTAGGCTTGGGTAAGCTGGAAGTATCCTCACCCTCGCGCTTACTTCGGGTGGCATGGCAGCTAGCCACCAGAAGGGTGTTACAGCTGAACGGTCATCTTACTATCTATCCGATCGAGCGGTTCCTTGTGGGAAATAGTTTTACCAATACCAATGATGTTCAGTACGTTTTCGTCGATTCGTAGTCTTTCGGCTGCATTTAAAATCTATATTCGAATGTGTGTCGTTTCATCAATACCGATTAGCAGACATTCGGAGCAGGATCCTATGCTACCCGCTAGTTCTGTGATTCAGCTTCAACAAAAAATCATGGTTGAATAAGTTAAAACACCAGCGTGGATAGAAGGTCACTAACGCTCACCACAATGCATCCGTCTCTCATACGTTTTAATTGTTCATTGACTGCTACACGATGGAGTACCGTGCGTCCTTGTTACCGAACGCTCATGAGATTCTTCGTAATGTACTACTCTTAAGGTTGCTGAAAATCCATCGACGGCCCACGACCGATTTCGCCCTTTTTGGGGCTCATCAGGTGGGCGTAGTCCCCGAGTTTCCGTCAACCTTATGTTCTACTTGAAACTAAATTGCACGAAATTCGCGAATATATACTCATTTGCAAACTAATTTGTTTTTTCTCGGGAGACTCACCTGGAACCCAGCTGAATCTCTCGTTTGTGATGTTCTAAGGCAACTGAATGTGCTGCACCAGGCCGCTTCGTGACTGATGAGATTCTCATACCTTGGCGGATTTCGTCCAATCATTCCTCTGGATTTAGCTTGAGCTTTTGATAAAACACCTGGAGAGCTAGTCTAGGAACAGTAATCGACATCGAGGCTGTTTGAAGACAGCAGCAAACTGAAGAAAGACTTATCGTGTTAACTAGGACTTGGAATGGGTGACGGGTCGTCAGTGCCATTGTTATCATAATACCAAATGATGGGTGTTCCAAATCAATCAGATTAATACAAAATTAAGTTGCTTTGTAGCTTGCCATTACACTGAATATGTGTGTATATTTTGCGTTGCCTTACGTGTGTATGATTGTAGCGAAGAATTCAAGTTTACGGCATGGATTCAACAGAATAAGTGTATTTTGACGTTGATAAGGGCTGCGTATAGTTCATTCGTATCTGTCTGTAACGCAGGCACTTGTCGTAAGTTCAAACAATGGCACCCTGAGTGGATAGTTTAATCATTCAGCTGTAACAGCCATTCGGTGCTTAGCTACCATGCCACCCAAAGGAAACATGAGGACTCAGATACTGCCAGGTTCCCCAAGCCTAGACTGGATCAGTCGAGATGATGAGGTTGGGTGGGGCCTTCCTAACACCTGGAGTTTGATGAGGCCAACTAAATTATTATGGATAAAACTAGAAAAAACCAGTTCTGGTTTTCCACCCGGATATCTTACTATACGATGTAATATTTTTACACGCCTTCTCGAATTCATATTTCGGGTACAATTGAGAACATTTATTTGTGCACAGTCTAAAATATACAATGAGAAAGTGTTTATCCCTGGTGTGCTTGCTGGATCCCGGTTACTGGCGAAAAAAGCCAGACTGTGTCGGTTGAATTCAGTTTACTGTCTAGTACAGTTTAGCATTCTTTGTTCTTAACTTGCAGCTAAAACTACTTTCAATGCGAAACATGCAACTGAATGAAATCTTTTCGTTGTGTGGAGGCTCCTTTGTTTGGGGAAGTCATTGCATAGTTCTTCAATGAATTAACGATGGTGGTAGGCGTTTTGTTATGAATGTGGATAATACCTCACTGGACCACCTCCACCAAGGCTTCGGGCAATGAAACTACTCCCGGTTTATTGAATCTATACTACTCAAGTAGGTAATAACGCAGCTGATATTCCCGGTCAGGTGACGATAGCACTCGTAGGAACATGTTAGCTTTTCCAAACATTGATGCGTTCGATTCAGGAAGCGAACGACGAATTGTGAGTGTGAGTAGCTCGCTCTTTAATTCCTCATACAGCGCAAATTCCGACATCGAGTCAGGTTAGTGGGTTAGGCGTGAACTTCGTGATCGGAAGGTCCGTGGTCCTAACCCAACCTCTGCATCTCAACTGCTTAAGTCTAGGTTTGGGCAACTTGGCATTACCTCAGCCCTCAAAATTCCGCAGCTAGGCACCTAACGGCTGGACGCTTACTACTACTGGTTCGAATTCAATCTCTCTTCTAACAAGTTTCTTCTTGCTTCCTTCTTTTGTCCACCCACAGTACATACTTTCAGAGCCGGCTTTTGACTACCTGAGAACCAAAGAAACTCTTGGCTATCAAGTGTATCTTCGAGCTTGGCGATCCACACCTGGTGGAAATCTTCACGCCGGCGCGTCAGTTGTGGCCTGCAGTCAAGCTAACCACTTCACGGCGAGTCACGTTGCTGGGCGTCTCTCAGCATTCTGGTATCACATTGTACCTCGAATTTTAGCCGGCATCGAAGAGGAGACTTTTCAGACCGCAGTATGTGGTGTTGGTTTTTCGTATGCGTCAGTGCCGTGCGAGTTCTTTTGTTTGTTCTCATACAGCCTTCGAATGTTGCAAGTGAACCTCCGCAATTCTATTACTTGACTCCACTTGCCAAGCCTGGCGATCGAAATGATCTATCTGGCAATAATTGTTCATGTAATAGTACTGAACACCGTTCCGTGTGCACTGTACCACGCACGCTGTTTTATTTAAACAAGGCGTGGAAACATGATCCTGCCATAAGTGATCAAGTTGGTATTTCCTAACAGCCATTACCGTTGCCTGGTTTGTGGTTTACGCTTATGGACGATATCAGAACACTTGGGGCGCCTTCTGGTTCATTGTTTGACACACCCGTTGATTCATGTAGTGATTTAACATCTATTTTTCTCATTAATCTGTCTTACTTTACCAATCTGATGGATTTTCTTGCCATATACGTGCTTTCACGCGGTGTCTGACCCTGAAGCTGGGGTCACACCGCTGTCATACCGTCTAGTTGATCTGTAACTCCGAGAGAGTGCGAAAAAAAGGGCAGTCCCAAAATCATAATCGCACAATGCTCTCGGAGAAAACAACAATAACACCTCTGCGTAAGTGCGAGTAGTTGACTGTTGACCTGTGGCATACGCACTGTACTCTCCTCGCTTGTGTCAGTATCCAGCTTGTTATCAGTCGCGGATTGTCTCATGCCGCACCATCGTCGGTCTGACAAGTTGAAAGATTGAATGACTGCAACTTACCTGTAGATAGCAGTAAAGAAGAAAATGTTGATGATTGACTATTTGAGGCCAAAATAAAGTATACGCCTTGGTTTACGTTCTCTCCAATGTTTCGGAATGTACTGATGGTGAGAATCATCAGGCACAGAAGTTGAACATAGTGGATTCTGCGTGTAATCGACTGGCTGGAGAACTGTGTTACATTCTGAATACTAGTGGATGGATCCCGGTTACTGGCGAAAAAAGCCAGACTGTGTCGGTTGAATTCAGTTTACTGTCTAGTACAGTTTAGCATTCTTTGTTCTTAACTTGCAGCTAAAACTACTTTGTCTGTAAATTTTCCACTACCCTCATTGATAGGATTCAATGCGAAACATGCAACTGAATGAAATCTTTTCGTTGTGTGGAGGCTCCTTTGTTTGGGGAAGTCATTGCATAGTTCTTCAATGAATTAACGATGGTGGTAGGCGTTTTGTTATGAATGTGGATAATACCTCACTGGACCACCTCCACCAAGGCTTCGGGCAATGAAACTACTCCCGGTTTATTGAATCTATACTACTCAAGTAGGTAATAACGCAGCTGATATTCCCGGTCAGGTGACGATAGCACTCGTAGGAACATGTTAGCTTTTCCAAACATTGATGCGTTCGATTCAGGAAGCGAACGACGAATTGTGAGTGTGAGTAGCTCGCTCTTTAATTCCTCATACAGCGCAAATTCCGACATCGAGTCAGGTTAGTGGGTTAGGCGTGAACTTCGTGATCGGAAGGTCCGTGGTCCTAACCCAACCTCTGCATCTCAACTGCTTAAGTCTAGGTTTGGGCAACTTGGCATTACCTCAGCCCTCAAAATTCCGCAGCTAGGCACCTAACGGCTGGACGCTTACTACTACTGGTTCGAATTCAATCTCTCTTCTAACAAGTTTCTTCTTGCTTCCTTCTTTTGTCCACCCACAGTACATACTTTCAGAGCCGGCTTTTGACTACCTGAGAACCAAAGAAACTCTTGGCTATCAAGTGTATCTTCGAGCTTGGCGATCCACACCTGGTGGAAATCTTCACGCCGGCGCGTCAGTTGTGGCCTGCAGTCAAGCTAACCACTTCACGGCGAGTCACGTTGCTGGGCGTCTCTCAGCATTCTGGTATCATATTGTACCTCGAATTTTAGCCGGCATCGAAGAGGAGACTTTTCAGACCGCAGTATGTGGTGTTGGTTTTTCGTATGCGTCAGTGCCGTGCGAGTTCTTTTGTTTGTTCTCATACAGCCTTCGAATGTTGCAAGTGAACCTCCGCAATTCTATTACTTGACTCCACTTGCCAAGCCTGGCGATCGAAATGATCTATCTGGCAATAATTGTTCATGTAATAGTACTGAACACCGTTCCGTGTGCACTGTACCACGCACGCTGTTTTATTTAAACAAGGCGTGGAAACATGATCCTGCCATAAGTGATCAAGTTGGTATTTCCTAACAGCCATTACCGTTGCCTGGTTTGTGGTTTACGCTTATGGACGATATCAGAACACTTGGGGCGCCTTCTGGTTCATTGTTTGACACACCCGTTGATTCATGTAGTGATTTAACATCTATTTTTCTCATTAATCTGTCTTACTTTACCAATCTGATGGATTTTCTTGCCATATACGTGCTTTCACGCGGTGTCTGACCCTGAAGCTGGGGTCACACCGACGATACAGACTTTGTCTAATCGCTGTCATACCGTCTAGTTGATCTGTAACTCCGAGAGAGTGCGAAAAAAAGGGCAGTCCCAAAATCATAATCGCACAATGCTCTTGGAGAAAACAACAATAACACCTCTGCGTAAGTGCGAGTAGTTGACTGTTGACCTGTGGCATACGCACTGTACTCTCCTCGCTTGTGTCAGTATCCAGCTTGTTATCAGTCGCGGATTGTCTCATGCCGCACCATCGTCGGTCTGACAAGTTGAAAGATTGAATGACTGCAACTTACCTGTAGATAGCAGTAAAGAAGAAAATGTTGATGATTGACTATTTGAGGCCAAAATAAAGTATACGCCTTGGTTTACGTTCTCTCCAATGTTTCGGAATGTACTGATGGTGAGAATCATCAGGCACAGAAGTTGAACATAGTGGATTCTGCGTGTAATCGACTGGCTGGAGAACTGTGTTACATTCTGAATACTAGTGGAATTTTTGTATTGGAGTCCTGCGATTGCTGGAACACTTTATTTCGATGCATCCTGACTTGATGTCACGTGCGACACGCCAACCGCAGTTGCCAATATGCAGCCGTGCACGGATGACTTGTCGACTCCTGTGGGGGACAGATAAAATGCTGAGCTTTTGACGAAACGACATAAACAAGCCGTGTCAGGCTTGTGACCATCCTCAACCATGTGTCTTGCTATCAGTTTTTATGGCTTGAACGTTGAGATCTGAGGATGAGTCAAAATCATTAAAACGAAGGCTTCACTGCTTCTTCATTGTTGTGAAAGCAGGTGCAGAAATTCCAAAGACCGGTGCCGACAGCTGTTTGTTGGAGGGTCTTACGATTGTAGCTAACAGTTGTCTGGTACGCCGCTTACTTTTCCGATCGTTTTCTGAAAAAAATTGGTCCAAAAAGACCACTTGAGGCCATCGACTGCGCCTGACCCAATCTCTAAGCCCTGGTCTGTTCTTTGTTCTCATCAGGCTACTTACATCGTTTCAGTAGCCTGCTAAATTTTGTTCCCTTGTTTTCAGGTTGCCTCTCTCATCACCATAGCTCAACTGGAGGATCCAAACATGCTCACTGAAGCGGAACGGAACTGGGCTGAAATACTGATCGGAGAATGCATGTTCAATCGACGAGAGGCTAGCGTATGTTTAGTGTCTCCTTAGCGCATCGTTTATTGTTAGTTTGCTTGGTCTGTTCGCACCATCCATCCATCGTCATCTTCAGAGACAGCAACATCAATGTTGACACTGATTCTTCACTGCCGTACAACCATAAGGTTCGTCTAACTATATTTAAAGCCATAGAATAAATAGAAGAGAAAAAGTGAGAGGAGAGGAACATAATACTGGTCTATATCGAGCCTTCTGAGATGCTCAATCATGTAATCTGGGAAGAAACTGATAGCACGAACGCCGCTGAAATCGATCAGCTGCCAGTTCTTGGAACAGATGGGGTCATGGGACGAGATGCTCATCATGTAATCTGGGAAGAAACTGAAAAGCCCGAAGCCGCTGAAATCGATCAGCTGCCAGTTCTTGGAACAGATGGGGTCATGGGACCCCATCTTGGAAAGCCTGAAACACCAACAACAGCCAAACTCTTAGTCTCTTTCATGCCCTTCTGTCGAGTCATGCGTTGTCTGTCTCGTGGTTTGCGCCATTGTGAGGAGTCACGGAGAACAACACTGGTCTCGGTAGGTAGTGTTTCGGCATGCGTAGCACATGGCCGAGCGGTCGTATTCGCTGGTGCTGAATGTTCTTCCCGAATGAAGTACCTACCGCACATCCAAATACCCGTTTTCTAATCACCTCGTTACTAACACGCTGATACCGTCCAAAACCAGCCACGCTTCTGAGGCATCAGTGGTCGAAAACCTGAAGACGCCTCACATCATCCGTCCTCAGAGGCTGTCTCGCACCCATACAACAATACAGTCCTTAATGTAGCCTGATACACGCGACCCTTAGAATCTAGTGATGTCTTCTTGACGCCACAAGTGACGCATATTAGCAAATGTCATTCGGGCCGTTTGAGATCCTTCCACTGACTTCATCAGTCACACTTTCGTCAGAGTTAATACAACCAACGAGATGTGTGAATTTTTCCACAATCTCCAGTGATTCTTTTTGATTGTAGGAGGTGTGTCCGGATACTGCACGTTTTGCAAATGACTTTGCTCTTTGAAGGTGTAAGGCGGTGGTCAGTCTACTCACGAAGACTTACGCTTCGCCTCTGTCTTCAAAGACGCGGGCAATATCGTCTGCAAGGTTTTCGCCAGGAACAATTTGAACATCTGAGTTTTGGAGACCTTCCAGCGTTCGATTCATTATCTCATCAATGTTAAAGTTGAACACGAATGGAAAGAGCAGATATTCTTGTCGGACACCGCTTTTTCTAGGGCATCTTTTGGGGATCTCATCATAGTCTCACTCGATCAGATGTGTGTGAAAATAGGGATCGGGTTATCTCCACAAACCTCTGGGGCATACCCTGTTGAACAAGTGTGGTTAACAACACTGACTGATCGACAGAATTGAACGCACCGTCAAAGTCAAGGAACACCAAGATTGTGGGTAGCCCGCAAGTGTTCGGCGACATGGTTCTGATAATTTCGTTTGATTTCTGGGTCCTCTAGCTTCTCAGTGGCTAAGCGAAGTGTGTGCGTCTTGTGTAGACCTGAATTGTTCAATAAAATGCAGCAGTATACAAATACCTGATCGCAGTCCACGCTGGTGTTCCAGTAAGAGCGTCAGGCGATGATCGACCCTCGCCACCGACAACTGACGGCGCTGGGGTCTGTTTAGGTTCGTGGCTGTTTTGGGTTGGCACCAAGTTGCCACCTACGCAGTCAGCTGATCGAAAACGCGCTCAAACTGACTATAAGGTCACAATGGTGATGATCTTGGAATTTCACTGTGATGTTTTGTTGCAGCATACGTTTTGGCTTCTTTTCAGTTTTCTTTCGAACGATGCTCTTGAGATATCCCATTTCGAATCGGCTAATATCTTTTTTTATTATTCCATAGGTGAAAGTGCTAAAGACGGTCACGAAAAAAAGTTTGTTCGAATTTTTTGTGACGGAATATCTGAAACCGTGCAATCGGCGAGTCCTGTTGGTTCAAGTACGTTTCCACCCTGATTACTGTCCGGTAATCGGTAGGCCTGCGTTTCGAGTCCAATTGCAAAGTTTTTCGTGTAGTCAGACTTGCGATTTCAATGTCCCAAGAGTAGTTGGGGTTTGAAAAGATCCAAAAGTGTCCCGTAAGTTCATGTTGTTGTTTCCATCACAGCACAACTATGATTTGTCTGGGGCTATCCGAAAAAACATCAGGTGAAGGGCAGAACGAACTAGACGCCTGCTGCTGGTGCGGGGCAGGGGTGAATAACCAATCAGTGTCCATTGACCTGGAGCCCAAAATCTTCTGGGCAGGTCGAGTACAGATCATATCCTCAGTGAATCTCTGTAGAGGTATGTGACAATACCCCTGATCACGTGAGCATTCTGGATACGCGTTTCTCTGGCAGAATATCGGTTTTCAGGATTTATGATCGCAATGTAACCATTAGTTTAGCTGGCGGAAATTGTGTGTGTATTCAACACTTGTATCGCAAGCGTATAAGGAAGCGCTTTCGGCTCCCCGGTCGAATACGTGTGTAAGATGACTGTGACAGCTGCAGTTGTTTGAAGTATGATCCTCATAGGACGCTTGCAAGCTGTGTGTTTCTAACGTCATTAAGATTTAGCTATATCACTATCAGTTGACCCAGTGCGTGGGCGATGTTCCCTTTGACACACTGCTTTGGTTGGTGCCCAACTTGGTTGACCCGCCGGTGCCTACGAAACATTTTAGACGAAAGAGCCAGGGAGAATTCAGGTATTATGGACGAAAACGCTTGCACATGAATTTGGACGCTAGTTAGGAGCTTATCCTGCGACACAGTACGAGTATTTATTGTATTGTTTGGCTGCTGTGTGAAACACCACCTCTGATAGACACCGCAGATTAGGTTCGTTTGGCACATAGCATATACTCCCAGAAAGCAATAAAACCGGCAGACGTTTCCAGTTGGAAGGAAACAGTATAAATAGAGTTATTTGATGGTGGTTTATTCCTATCCCATTTAGGATTACAGGTTGTCTTGTTTGGTGTGTCTCAGCTGCCCATTCAATTTGCTTACACCAAGTGAAAATGAACTGGTTTTTGGGAATGCATTTTATGGCGCTGCATTGAAATTCATACTGATTGATCATCGGTTTGTGCGCGGAGCTTTATTTTTACCCCAAATAAACACGATGCCCTATTACTGTCTATTTTGCTATCGTACTTGATACTTAGTTCAATGTAAGTTACTCTACTCGCCCACTTCGTCACTAGTGAGGTTACCTTTGCAAGAGGTCACCATGAACTAAGCGCTTAAGGTTTGAGGCCAAACCTGTTACCTGACAGATTCATTAACCATGGACAGTAATAAAATGGTGGTCGGTCAGCTGTCGCATAAGCATAAGGGCTTGAACTATTGCCAGATTGCTCAAGCCTAGACTGAAGCAGTCCACTAGCCAGACTTAGTTTCAAATTACGAAACCTTCGGTCCGCAGATTCGAGTTCTAACCTCCGGATTATCTCAGACCTTCGAATTTCGATTAGTTTCCTCCAAACGCAAAACACCCTAGTGGATTCCTGTGCCCGCTATATGATGAGTAATTGGTCAATGGATCAGTCACTACCAGACGGCGTCGCGTGAACTTTTTGATAGAAGGTTGAATGTTGCCACATACAGTCGGAGTGAATGTCAATTACAGTCACAGGTAACTGAAAGGTAATGTTAAACTCCTGTCTGCTAGGTTGGGTACTCCACTTGAGATTCGCGCCGTTGAGGATCACAAACAAGGATGCAACAGCCGTACGTGTTTTTTTTTCATAGGTTCTCTGGTACCGGCTAACTTCAGCTATAGGTTGACTAAAACTCGATTCAAACTGCACGTGGATACCTGAATTTTTTCCCTTCACGATTTACTTCTCTTTCAGGTCGAGGCGTCCGCCAAACCCGATTTAGGTCACGTATTTCCGCAAAAATCTTATGACCTCCATATTCGACATGTCAAAGTCACCGAACAACTTCAACAAGACGAGCAAAATAGTCAGGATGAGGTTGATGTAGCAGCCGCTGTCACCGCTTGTGGTTTTGACAACGACGCCGGTTTGACTTTCATGCATACTTGTTCTTTGATGGATGACACTTCGGAACTATGTCCCCCAGCCACGGACTGTGTTGCAATTGATAGTTTGCGAGGCTTTCGGTCCACTCTGGTGTATGAACCTGGCCGTGTTGTCGAATGATCGAGTGGAACGATGCGAATTACTGATCATGTTGGCTGTAATTGCCTGATGATGAGGGTTTTACCTGCGATTTACTTTGTACTGCCACTCATGTGACTGGTTCTTTCTCATGCAGCTCTGGTCCTAATTGTGTATCCAAGTCACTTGAGCTTTCGGAGCCGTTTGGTTTTTTCTTCTACCTGGGAACACGTGTCCGCACTTAATGCCATTATCTTAAAGAATAGAGATTGGGGCTTTTGGCTGTCCTATTTTCTCGATTCATCCTCTGATGGTTGATGTTAGCTCTGCCAATCAAAAAAACTGTATTCACTGACATACTCGAGCACCTTTCTCAAATTAACTTTGGTCGTTCATCGTCACAAGGTGATTGCCATTTTGAACGAACAAGTGCTTGCAATTTCGGAAATACGGTTGGGGTGAATTCAGCTCGTATCCTAATATCAACCTTAAGATTAGGCCCCCGAAACGGAGCGAATCAGTTGAAGTTTGGTAGCCCCATATCAGTCATCGCTGTCCTAAGCAGCTCCGGGTATTTCTGAGCGTGTGGGTCTGCCTACTCAATACATTGCTCACTTTATAGTCTAATTCAGTTTCTCGGGATGATGTTTTTTCCATCCCACTCTACAGGTGGATAGGGTGTTCGATGAGGAAATTCGCTAGTTTATCGTCTGTAGATGTGTAAGTTATCAACTGTTTTTTTCCCCGCAATTTACGTCACAAACAAGATATTTAGCTGGGTTCCAGATGAATCGTGCAATTTGGTTTCAAGTAGAACATTAGAACAAAATCTGTTTGAGTGCATTCCCGCTAATTTCGTGCAATTTGGGTTCAAGTAGATCATAAGGTTGACGGAAAATCGGGAACTGCGCCTACCTGATGAGCCCCAAGAAGGGCGAAAGCGGTCGTTGGCTGTCGACGAATTTTCAGCAACCTTATGAGTAGTGCACTACGAAAGTTAACATTGCATAGCCTTTTATCAGGCTCACTAGCGTTCGGACCAAGAAGTAGGAAAATCCTTTGAGTTCCCATGCTGTCCCTGCTGAATGTGGAATCACAAAGTGGCGCTAATCGCTATCGATACAACTTAATTCCGGGTTTTTTCAAAGACAAGTAATTGAAGTGCAGAAAATGAGCAACTTTCTTGTTGAGCTCCTTCAAGGTTCACATTTAGTTCCATACATGTTTTAGGCCTACAACGAAGGTTACTTTGTTCATAAGTGATTTGTCGAATTAGGAAGAACGTGACGGAGCCGATCGTCATGCCAAATAATCGTAAGAGACCCCGCTCGGGTTTTTGCAAAAGAGAGATTAGTTTCGATTAGATGGGTAGATTGGTAGATAAGATTTTTTCTAATGACGGCACCACAGTAATGGCGGGTGGTCTATTAGACCATGTCCCTGACTCTTCCTGTTGTTCTACGCCCGGTTGATTTTAGATGTTAGCGATAACGTAGTAGCTTACGGGTTTCTAAGTGTGATTGTTCGTCTTCTCTGAAAATATGCTACCCCTCCGTTACACCAAGATTATCTGAGTTGCATCCCGAATTCGAATGCGACCGAGGTCATCTAGACTGATGGGCTTCTCGTGGATGATCGCATCATTCTTATCATGCGTGATTCAGCGTCTACTTTTCTCCAAGAGATCCAGGAATTCGAAACTGAGATTGCACGAGATTTTATCAAAAACATCAAAGTGGTCAGTCCGGTGTTTGTTTGGATTATCTGTCCAGGTTTTTTGTTGACACTGCTCGGTTTTCGAATTCCTCAGTTGAGTCCAAATCCAAGCCCTACCGTATGTTTCCTAGAGAACCGGATCCAGATGCCAGTCATCATTCCGTGTATTAGGACATCCAAGGAATCACGGTCGGTGTGGTAGCATAGATGGGCGTTGGCTTGTTCGCTGAGCTGGGCAATTTGATTGCAAACGTTTCATCACCAGTCGAGGTGACATCATTAGTGCGTTATTGGGGAGCGTAGTGGTGCGTAGCGCTACGCATCACCGATTGGTGGTGAAACGTTTGCAATTAAATTGCTCAGCTCAGCGAACAAGCCAACGATCAATCACGGTGTTACTTTGTCCGTTATGAAAATCACGTGGATAGTTTCCAGGGGACTTATGAGCAATGTATTCCATCAAGAAAATGCATGAACTTTTCTTTTTTGAAACGTAATTAATCCGTCATTATCAAACCGAGAGATGCCGATATTCGTTTTTACTCTCCTAAATACGATTGGAAGTTACGTGGACTAGAGGTCTACTTGGCTTTACGTCATATTTAGGATTTTGCGTTTTCACCTATTCCAAAAGCAATCAACATCCGAGCTGGCGTTTCATGCCGACTTGCTATTTCCTCGACGCAAGTGAAGCAAATCTTTGAGCCCAAACACAGACAAAACACATCACAGATTCAAGTTGGGAAATGAGCTTCTCACGGGTTGTAGAACTTCACATTTCCCTGGCAGAGCGCAGCCAATCGGTATGCGGACTGCTCGGAAGGCTCACAGTAGGAAGCCGCAATGATGCAATCACCTAATCTCTTCACGCCGAGGAGCGAGGTCATAGCAACGTATCCACTCAGACAACCGCTACAGTGATATCTAAAGCGGTTCTCGGTTGAGATATGCCTTTGGTCGAAGGGCAACGTTATGAGTAGTGTGTTACGTCTAGGCAAAAACTATCGATCTGTTGCTAACCAAGCTGCGCGGATCTTTGGTACACACGACTGCTTTTATAACCGATATCAAAATAGCTGCCATCAGATTCACCCGTTCGTTTTGTTCCCCAGAACAAAATGCGCATCATTCAACTTGCAACACGCTTCTGCTTTGGTCCGCTGGTTATGTACCGTCTTGCTTGAATGGTGGCCAATTGAATTTAGTAGCTTGGCACCCAACCAATGTGATATTAGGACGAAAATGTGACTATTTCAGAAGCAATAATGATGATTTTTTTCCAAAGGACTATTGCCCGATTTGCAACAATATAAGATGCGAAATACCGTTAAGGCTATCTGGTTGGTTCCTCGGGTCGGGTCCCACTTGAATGTGAACAGCTGAACAGTGAATTGGTGTGCACTGACCAGTATCTTACCACCATTCCCAACGGGAGAGTGGCAGTTTCAAATGGCCAACTTGCTCTGGTTTTGGAAAACATGGATGCAAACAGTATTTCTGACGGATGTGACCACTCCGTAAGCTTGGAGTTTGCAAGTTTTGGTTACCGTCGGTCCTACCGAAACGCGATTGCTGATTTATGTGATGCGTAAAAATTTGCTCGCAAACCGAATCACCATCTGAATCTACTTCTTCGTTGAACAGTCTTGCAAATGAAGTACTATCGAAGTTTCAATAAGTGTTGCGGCACGTGGAAAATATGTTTACAATTTGTGAGCTAATTAGTTGAACGGAATGAAGCTTGTTAGCCGGATGGACGTGTAACTACTGAGTGAAAAAAAACATTGTTGTCGTGGCAGTCCTAATGGGTATGACCTGATAATGAACAGACGGTACCAGTCATTAATACGAAACTTGCCTAATGAGAATCTGATTAATCTCAAGTTCATTCTCAATGTGTATGCAGTGGATTCTCGTTAGAGCAAGAGTTTCTGGCCTTCCGATTCCTCTTGTGTAGGCCTGGACAACCCCGTAATCAATAGTTCAGCCGCTTTCGGGTTGTATGAGAGTCGCTCACCAAAAAGTGATAAATGGCCGTTAATCTACCATTCTGAGCACAGTAGCACAAACTACAGTATGGCATCGTCTGTTATGCTAATTCCCATTTGATGAGAACCATAGTTTAGGATTGCCTTTTGTGCAGTTGATTGGGCGGCGTTTTGTCACAGCTTGACTTGTGTAGGGCGAAATAAAAACATCAACAGACAGCTCACTCTTAAGGCATTTGTGGGAGGATAGCATAGCGATAGCAGCTGCAAGCATCAGTAAGTGGAATACTGACTGAAACTATCCTTATAGATTTTCACCATTCCGTCTTCTGCGATCCCATGATCCTTAAATTTGCAATGTCACTACTTAAGCTCATTGGGTCACTGAAAACATGTGAACTTTTGCGAACTCGTAGAAATTGCACTACTACAGCCAAAAATGTTGGAGGTGATTCGACACTCATATGCAAAGCAATTCGGTTTGCACGTGAGACTTACCTGAATCCCAGCTGAACCCCTCGTTTATGACGTTCTTTTAATTGAATGTTTTCAGTGACTTTCTGAGTAGTGTGCTACGCCTATACAATGCAAACTATTTTATGGGTACAATATCCTCCGAAGAATACTGGCTAAGGACCGGCTTATTTGAAACCTTGTGTGTGTGTTTCATAAGAATTACGGATAATATTCAGCTCAATACCGAAATCAGAGTTAAGGCACCAATTCACGACTTTAATCATCTATTCTTGTTTGTGAAAATGGTCCAAGTGCACTATTCGATAACTGTCTCAGAAACTGAAAGCGTCCGTCATCCCGCACGTGGACCCGCAAAGTCAACCCACTTTATTTCAATTCATCTAATTGGTACGAACAGCTCGGTGAAGACAGCCGGATCGTTCCTACTTCATTCTTTAAAACGCGTTCCAAAGGTGGGAACAGTCACTATTAGATTAGGTAAACTCTCCTTGTGTTATCTTAATCTTCACATGAGAATACTGCCTCCGCCTTGCCTAACCAACGAACTTAGATAGCTATATTCATATGGTGATATCTTGAGGCGACCGTTTTTACGCATCCATTCGTCGTGTTCCATTCAATTGTCAGAACCTATTTTTCTCAAAACATCGTGTACTTACAGACACCGGTTTCAATCTGAATAGTACTTGTGTCTTTGCTTGTCACACCATTAATTCATGGCAAGTGAAATTGGATGAGGTGGCCACGGTGCCCAATGTTAGGTTTGAGAGTAAGCTGTGGAAGAAGAAAAGAAATTCGTATTGTTTCCAAAGGAAGTAGATGGGAGGTTCGCTCGACGACCTCAGGGAATTAGATACTCCCGCCTATTGGTCATGTTTCGGAGAAAATGTCTTGACAGGGTAACGCCTGAGTGCTGATGATTTCCAACACCACTGAAACAGCTGTACAGTGCTTTTCGGATTTTTAACATCCAGCGGCTTCACTTACAGGACTAAATTTCCAAGGAAATCTTCCCAAGTAGACTCACACGTCCAACATTCAACTTTTGACTGACTGTCCTCCATGAGAACAAACGTGGTCGTGGCCGTTTTAGTCTCAGATCTGCAACGACCTAGTCACTTATCAGAGACAGAAATGTGAACCTTTGATTTCTGGTAGACATTTCTGTGAAC